CAGCACTGTCGGTCAACAGTGTGTAAGGACGAACCAACCGTGGCCTCCTCCTGGCTCAGGTGGCTACTTTGAGGGCAATGTGGGTTATTTATCAGGCAGAGCATGGAGTGCTTGGTAGCACTTCTGTTGACACTGCAGAGAGTTAAAAAAAAAAAAAAGGTAGGAGTCTGGGGTGGCTCCATAGTGTAGTGGTTACCATGTCTGCTTTACACCCAGAAGGTCCTGGGTGTGCACCCCAGGTGGAGCCACGGACCATACCCGGGGGGCTGTGAGTGTGTGGGAGGAGATGCCCCACCTTCAGAGATCCAGTTCTTAAGGAGAAACAGCAACATCCATGGGTCAAGGGTGGAAGTTTTGTGGGGGGGGGAATAAAGAGGAGGTGGGGGAAAGGTAGGAGTCTAAGTGGAAGAGAGCCTTTTCACACCACTGCCTTTATTGCTTCTTGGAGCTAGGGTTTTCAGGAAATTCCTATCTGTAGACACTAAAAATAGGGAATGATCTGGGATCAAAATAGCCTTTGTTTTTTTTTTTTTTTTTTTTACCTAGTTAGGAGGTTGAAGATAGGCGGCCTGTTCATATGTTAGTAAATGCCTGGGCTACAGACTACTTGGTGCTTGGTTCGCCCTCTCTCTCTGGGTACAGTTTGATTGGGCATTGATCCTTGTGCTGATCCAGTGGCCTCCACCTCAGTGCCTCTGGAGAACAAGAGCTGCAGGGGACACCTGACCCTAAATATAACCCCCTGGCTTCCAAGAGTCAAAGCACAGCAGGGCTGTTATTAGGAGCGTAATGGCACGTGATTGCCATTTGAGCAGGCAGCAGTGGACCAGGCTCCCTTCCACAACAGTTTCAAAGTGGGAGGCCGCAGCTCTGCCCCACCCCACACGTAAGACAGGTGTTCCTCTTCTGGTTTGCCCCTCTCAGGTAATGTTGCTTGGGATGGGATGAACTTCATCCCATATCAGCAAGCTCTGTCAATAACTGCCTCTAAAATGTACCCCACATCCATCGACTTCAGCTCCACTGCTTCCCCACCCCAGATCTGGTCCATCCTAGGTCTGGATTATTGTTGGCGCCTCCTCACTGGTCTCCGTGGGACTATGCCTGCCCCCTACAGTACATTCTCCCCACTGCTAGCCAGGGAGCCTTTTAAAGCTCAGTAGATCGTGCCACACCTGCTGAAAGCCCTCCAGTGGCTTCCGATCACCATCAGAATAAAATCCACACTCTTTTCTATGGCCTTACCAGGGCTTTGTAAGGTCCAACTTGATTTGGCCGTCCCTAGTTTTCTCGCCTTCTCAACCATTCTCCCCGCTGTTGCTTACTGTCTCCAGTCATACTGACCACCTTTCTGTCCCTTGACTATCCCAAGCCTTTGCACTGGCTGCACCCTTGGCTTTAAATGCTGTCCCCCTGAATCTTCACATTGCTGGCTCCTTCTCATCATTCAGTCCTTAGTTCAAATGTCATGGAGGCCGTGTCTGACCACCCCAGCTAAAACACTGCCTTCTTCACTTGGTGTCGTATTGTCTTATTTTTAATCTGTACCTGTGTTGAGCTCTGTATATAGATTTATCACCAGCTCCTCAAATTATAAATTCCATGAAGGTAGGAACCTCTATATCCTCGGCACCTAGAACGGTACCTGGCACATAGTAGGTGCCCAATACTTGTCGAATGAATCAGTTAATATAGAAAGAATGCTTCATTTAGCAGAAGTACAGAATTAGCTTTCAATAGATGATCTGTCAAAACAGTGGGTAGAAGCGTGAAAGAAGAATGAGCAGGCATTTTGCTCTGGGTAGTTTCTCCTGAGCCCTGTGGTCCTCTGGTCGCCAGAACTAATCGGAGCGAGAAGAGCAAAAGGAGTCATCAAGTGAGAAAGCAGAGTTTGCTGTCCTATTTCCGTGCGTCCATGCTGGAGGTTCCAGGCTGTCTTCAGTAGCTAGACTTGCAAAATAACCACCACTCACTGGGGAAAACCTTGCCTGCCAAGTTGTTCTTGGTGTCCTGTCCACAAGGAGTTTTATAAAGCTCATATTGGAGTCCAGAGTCTGGAAGATGTGGATGGGGGTCTCTCAGGGCTGGATGTGGAGGAAACGCTGACCTGTGTAGGAGTAAAAATGGCTGACCATGGAGATGCTGGTGTGAAAAAAGAACCAGATGAGATAAGGGAAGGGGAGAGGGTGGAAGGGCCTGGACACCTTACGACAAAGGTACAGAGGTGTCTTCAGATAAACGGGAGTCCCGAGGACAGGAAGGCACTGTCGTGTGCGTGCCTCGTGTGGGCATGGATCGTTGAGCTGCGTGCCACGGTGTGGCACGCTTAGCAGACTGAAGCCTGGGGCTTTATGTGCCAAGTGCTGGAGGTAGGGCTGAGCCTGCTAGAGCCTTCCAATAACAACAAGCTGGCAGCCCCTGGAAGTAGGCAGAGCTTCCTGAGAAGAGAACGGCCAAGGTCAGAGGGTGAAGGGAGCAGGTAACCAGTCTGTGGGTGCTGATTTGTGTTTGTTTGTTTGTTTCACAGCTTGGGAAACAGAAGAAAAAGTACATGCCATACAACCACCAGCACAAATACTTCTTCTTGAGTGAGTGTCTCCTTCCAACACAGGGGACTCCCTTGGGAGGGACGTGAGGAGATGACTCTCCAGGGGATTCTGGTATTTTAGGTAAAGGCTAGAGGAACTACTTCGCCCCAACAGGTTACTCCTTGTGCGGGAGCTGCCTACCATCTCAGCTGAGCAAAGCCAACGGTTAGGCTGATGTTTGGTCAAAGGTTGTTCTCATTGCAAAGCCAGCGCCATGCTGATGTTTGCTCAAAGGTGGTTCGCGGAGTGGTTGGGTGGGGCCATCCTGACTAAGCCTTAAGCCATACCTTGAACCCTGTCATACACATTCCTGGGTCTAGGGACTTGGTGGGGTGCAGTCCAAGCCCCAAGGAAACAAAGACAGATGTAGCTATGGGAAGATGAGACCCAAAGAGGGAGTGGAGGAGCCGTTGCGTAGTTGTCTTAAGCTCTTTCTGAAGACTGTTCCCTCGTTTAAAAATCTGCTTCATAATGGTCAGTTTTAAAACTCCTTTAAAAATTTAAAATTTCAAAGGAAGGGAGGGTGTGATTCCAGCGATTCCATTTTAACTCGAAGGAATTTATTTTAACTGTGTAGTAACCAACCACACCTCCTGGGGAAAGGGCGATGGGGTAGAGGCTGGAGCAGAAATGTCGGGAGAAAGAATGTAAGAATGCAGGGCATCTCGGAATAGAGGAGCGAAGGTGGGCATTGTAATGTGGGGGGTTACAGGGGAGCATCGGGGCCATGCAGAGAAGGGATACGGAAAAGGAAATGGGGCAGCACGTGGGACTGGACCCACTTCTTCAATTCTCAGTGTTCAGAGAAGCCTCGTGCCCCTTCCCACAGCCGACCTCTGGGCTTCAGGTTGGGGGCCACAAGCCTGTTTCCCTAGTCCAGGGAAGTAAGCTTTCAGTCCGTGAAGGATCAGCAGGACCTCCCTGTCTCCTAACACACCTGTCCCTTCACCTGCATAGAACACACGGCAGATGACTGTCAGGACAGGTGTAAGGTCGGTGCGAAGGCCCCAGGCAAGGGCAGGGCTGTTGCCAGGGTAACTCCAGGAGTATTAATTAGCAGTGGGAGCAGAGCAAGTTCCACGCAGGGGGCTTGACCTCCCCCAGTTGCCCCCTTCCACTGGAAAAGAAGGCCACTCCCGCCCCTCACCCTCCTGGCGTGGTCTCGGGAGATTTTGCATTCAGTGCCTGCCAGTTCCGGCGGATCGAGGAGTGCCAGGGCAGCTAGGGGGACAGCAGGAGACAGCAGAAACGCCAGAGGCCGTCCCTCCCGCACCAGCTGGCTCTCCGGTGACCCTCATGCTGCTCACACCTCCTCCTCCCTGTCTCCATTTCCTCCCCAGTTGGGCCCCCAGCCTTGCTGCCTCTCTACTTCCAGTGGTATATTTTCTATTTTGTTATCCAGCGGAAGAAGTGGGTGGTGAGTATCCGTGGTCCAGGAGTCCCGCATCCTTTGTCTCCAGGACCTTGAGGGAGGGCAAAGGGGTTCTCCAGGGGAAATCCCACTGACATGCACTCCAGGCCTAATAGAACCAGCTGTGGACCTTCCTTATCTCTAGGTGGCAGGATTTGAGCTCATCAGACCACCGGACTCCCAATGCCTATTTCATTCTCCTGTGGTTCTTGTGCTGGGAATAAAGCCAGGGGGGGACTGGGGAAAATGAGTGAGAAATGGCACCAACTCTCAGGAAACTTCTGGTGAAGCAAGATGCGGTTGACACCAGAGAAAAGAGGTACAGGCAGAAGGTTCTGGGATTCCAAAAGGGGCCCGACTGCAACTAGCTGGGTGAGAGGCATCAGAAAAGTCTTTGTGAAGTTGCTTTTCTAGCCGACCTTGGTGGACAGGCAGAGGTGGGGCGGAGGGAGAATGGACTCTGAACAGAGAAGCTGGGTAGTGAGGGGTGGGTCTGTCATTGGACATTCTGTGGAGGATTCGAGTGTCAGGAGGAGGACGGTGCAGAAAAGTGACTGGAGATTTCGTCAGGACACTGGCACAGACTGAGCCGTGGTGCTGGAAGATTCATTTGGCAGCGTGACGAAGGGATGAGGATTTAGATGGGTTGGGAGAAGCTAGAGGCAAGGAGACCCTGTAGGTCCTGGCACTCGTCAAGGAAACAGGCACGGAGGGCTGGAGGTGCACTGGGGGTCAGAAGGAAGGAGCAGTGGCACTCGATACTGCAGGGCTGGGCCACTGAGAGGAGACAATCCAGCCTGGGTACCTGGGAGAATGGCCACACCTGATGCAAAGAAACAGGTGAAGTGAGATGCTCTGCGCCAGTCCTAATGCTGCCTGCTTCCCCCTGCAGGACCTGGCCTGGATGATCACCTTCTACGTCCGCCTCTTCCTCACTTATGTGCCGTTGTTGGGGGTGAAAGGCCTCCTGGGTCTTTTCTTCATGGTCAGGTAGTGTTTGATGGGAGGAGTAGGGATTGGCGAAGAAAAGCAGATATTTGGGAGTGACCGGTCTGGTCTGGGGACTACGTAGCAGGGGTTATGTCAGGTGTTGGCTCGGGAAGGTGGCCAGGCTGGAGCGGGTGTCTGAGGGAGAGTGAGAACTCCGGACTCTGCTTGTACTGTTTCCGTCTGTGTGCCTTATCCACCAGGTTCCTGGAAAGCAACTGGTTTGTGTGGGTGACACAGATGAACCATATCCCCATGCACATCGATCACGACCGGAACATGGACTGGGTCTCCACCCAGGTAAGGGACAGTCACTTGGAAGACCTGGGCATAACACAACTAAGAAAAGGGGTGGGTAGGCAGAGATGCAGGGCACGGGGCGGGGGCAGTAACGATGACGAAAGTCCCCAGCAGCACTGCCTTATTAGCTTGAAGCTTCTCTCCTGTCACCATGTGGAGAAGGGAGTGACCAGGGACAGTCCCACGGCCCCTCCCTTCAGACAGCTTTACCTGGGAGGGCTGGACCAGCCTTTCCACCTGGCATCCAGGGCCATGCTCTCCCCGACCTTTTCCTCCAGCTCCAGGCAACATGCAACGTCCACAAGTCCGCCTTCAATGACTGGTTTAGCGGGCACCTCAACTTCCAGATCGAGCACCAGTGAGTCGGGGGGAGCTGGAAAGCCGGGTCTCAGGGAGGGTCCACGTGTGGGGAGTGGGGGAAGCAGAGGAGCAGAAGCCACTGACTGTCCCGTTCTCCCTGAAGCCTTTTCCCCACGATGCCGCGACATAATTACCACAAAGTGGCTCCCCTGGTGCAGTCCCTGTGTGCCAAGCATGGCATAGAGTACCAGTCCAAGCCCTTGCTCTCGGCCTTTGCCGACATTGTGCAGTGAGTATCTGAGCCTGGGAAGACGGCTGGAAGGGCAGGGAGAGGGCAGGGCAGGGGGGTGGTGAAGAGGGGGGTGGGAGCAGAAGTTTTTCCCAGTTGTCTGGAATGGAGGTCGCCAAGGCAAAAGCAGGGCACTCTTATCGGTCTTGGGGCAAGGTCGGTCCTTTGCTCTCAGTGCCATGGCCCAAGCTCTTTCTCAGGCAGAGGGGAGGAAAGCATTCACACGGAAGGGTCGCGGACACGGGCTGCATACCTCTGCATACCTCTGCAAGCACCACTACATTCCTGGTGGGTGGTCTGGCTTTTGGGCTCGGCTCGGCTCGGCTCGGTTCGGCTCAGTCCGCCTCACTGCCTGCTTCCATCTCGTCCCCACAGCTCACTGAAGGAGTCCGGGCAGCTCTGGCTTGATGCCTATCTGCACCAATAACAACAGCCGTCCCCCCACCCCCCATATGGAGGAGGAGCCTCTGGAGCTGAAGTAGAGGGGAGCGTGAGGGATGATGCCACTACAGTTCTATATGCAGAGGGAGTGGGTTTGAGGAGATAAAGGCTCTGGCTCAAACCCCTCCCCTTTATCTTCTAGGCAGATCAATGGGAACACACAAGCCCCCTCCTCCCTCCCCCACCCCCCAGAAGGGATGGTGCCGTTGGGGCAGGGATGTAACTTCTGCTGTTTCCTTTTGCTCGTTTGTCAGATGCAGATGGTCAGCGAACAAAGAGGGAATCAGGAAGGTGTTAGAATAGGGAGGACCTACTAAGCCCAGAAATCAGCAAGATTTACCACTAAAATTCCGCCCAGGAAAGGGGTGAGCTCATCTCACCTGTCCACTCCAGTGCCTTCTCCGCCCTCGCCTGCAAGCCTCAGAGGTTCGCAGGCCGGAGGGAGAGGGAGCAGCTGAACCTTGTGAGCAAGATGTAGAAAGGAAGCATTAGCGCTGAGAATTCCGAGACCTGACAAAACGCAGGGCCTGGGAGCTCAGCTCACTCTGGGCGGGGTGTGACATGTCTGCCTCAGGCTTCCGGAGAAGCACTCTCTCCATTTTTAGAAGCAGGCAGGGCAAAGGCCAGGATGTGGTATTGGAGACATCTGGCCCTGAGGGATGCTGCCCCGACTGATTTTTGGTCTCATGTGCCATCCAGGGTACCAAGGTCCTAGGTCTTGCCAAAATGGCTAGCAAAGAGAATTGCTGGCCATTAAAAATCCCTTCAGCTTTTGATTCATCTCTTCTAACCAGCACTTGAGGAACAAAACACTCCTAGGACAGGGAGTCCACTTCTTGCTCTATATACAAGTGAGCAGATGGGACGACTTAATCTTCTCCTCCTAAGAAACAAATGGGGCTCCTAATGGTTTCTCTTTGCTTCCCTACCTATAAGTCCAAGTTCAATACAACGGCAGTGAGCGCAAGTGACCGAGCTAGGAGATGCTGAGTCACCTCCCAGTCATGAGGAAAACACAGGTTTCAGTCATGAAGAATATAAAAGCTGTGAGAAATTTTCTATAACCTAAATTGTTACAGCATTACTTCTGAGCAGGAGCAGTGGTGTTAAATGTCATCACTTCATAGTTCTAAACCAGAAATAGGAAGATAAAAACAGAAGTTTGTGATCAACGTTGCTGTCATTAGGCATCTTAATTAACTGTCAACTTCGTGCAAGTGTCTTTCTCTGCTGGAGACCAGGTAGGAATTTAGAATAATCTCTGGAGCATATCAGTCTAATACTGAAATGCAATTTTTTTTTTAATCTCGTGGTTTTTAAAAGATAAAAAGTTTAACCCATCTCTACAGAGCAGACATAGGAATGTTATGTGTCCCCCCCACCCCCTCCCCCGGTCTCACCTTAACTCCAGGGCTTGTCACCAGCATTCACACTCTCTTCCCTTCCCACACCCACGGCCCCTCAGTCCAGGCGAGGGGACTGTTCGCCTGTTCAGCAGCATCTACTCTAAGCATATTGAGCATTTGGGACACTAGGAGGAGGGAACCTCAAACTAGAAGGACAAAGCCCAGCCCTGGGAGAGTTTGCCATTGTCTTAAAACTAAATGCAATCAAGGAAATGAAGCGCGTTGGGATGAGACTAGGCGCCATCCATAGAAAGGCTGTCTTGATTTCTTCGAAGTTTGTCAAAGCAAAGACAAAAAGATTTAAAAAACAAACATGGGGGAGAGCAGGTTGCAGAAGAGTTCAGATCTTTCCCATGTGGGCAGAATCATTTAAAACAGCCTGGGTAGAAAGCTGAGCGGCAGAACTGAAGAGTCCTATTTTCATTGGCTTCCTCACTCCATAGGTGCTGACCTTCCCCATCCCTGTTCCCTGCTACCTGAGGTTTGGGTGTGGTGTCACCAGCCTATCCAGCCATCTGGCTTTTGGCCTCAGGCAGCCTGATCTGAGCAAACCAAGTGGAGCTTATTGAGCCAAGTCCTGATCCTCAAAGCACCTCAACCACTGTGGCCTTCTCTCCTTAACCGAGACCAGTGTGGCCTCATGGCCAAAAAGGGACATTCCAGTGACAAAAAGGTCCAGTTACAGTGAAAACATGAGTGATCTCAAATCCAATGACAGATAAGAAAACGGGCTTAGATAGGACAAGTCACCTCCAGTCACAGATTGTGGCAGAACGTCTGAACTCCTAAAAACTCCAACTGTTTGTCTTGTTACTTTCATCTTTCAACCACTTACTTATCTGGAGCCATTTTTGTAAGTAGGTCCATTATCAATATCCTTTTTGTATGTGCCAATTTTGTTACCACATCCCAGTGAAGTAAATCTGAAAATAAAATGAATTTTGACCAAATGAAGGCTATTGTAATCCGCAGTGCTCTTCTGCATGTGTCAGTAGGACCACCTGTGCCTCTCCTGTAAGTTACTATCCACCTCTGTGGCTCTCTCTTCCGAATGGATCCCTGCACAGCCTCCCCTTTGCATAAGCCCCTTGGACAGAAAAAGGAACATCGGGACCTCTAGAAAACACTAAAGCACAGGTGGACTATGGCAAGGAAAAGAAAAGCCAACCCCTTCCCAGGACACCTGCGTGTTCAAATGGTAAATTACCTAGATAACAGGCAGGTTTTATGTGCACTGCTTCCTCCTATTGTGAGGCAATGTCCTCACCCTTTTTAACTTCAGTCTCAGTACGGATAGTCCCGTTTTTGCCTGAATCTTTCTTTGCGTGCACAACGTCTCAGAGCTGGACTACATAAAGCAATGCCTTTTTAACCTAACTAGAACAGCAACCTGAGCAACAATATGCTAACTAAAAATTTGCAAAATTGATTTTCCCTGCGGTGTGCAATAAACATCTAGAAAAGACTAGGCAAGTCGACTTCAAAGAGCAAGAGAAAAACACCACTATGTGCTTGTTTAGCACAGGGTGCAGGCCCTTAACTAGAACTACTGCGCTGAGGTGATAGCTCCCTGAGGTCTTACCACCTCTGGGACCCATCAGCATTACTGCAGGCTTAGAATCAAATTACTTGAATCAGAAAATAGAGCTTCCATAGGTGTGTGGCTCCACTCGATCTGCAGAAAATTAGTTTTACTTAACTGCTGGAGACACCAGTGAACAAAAAAGACCCCTGCCCTCAACACAGAACTTTCTGTCGACACCAGTGGTTTTCAGAGTCCCCTAGATATGAGGGCTATGCTGGAAAGACGATCCCATTCAAGCTTCCACCAAGAGCTCTTATATCCCGAGATTCCACGAGATTTTATTTAAAAGATAGGCTGCTCCGTTAACAATTTTGAAAAACCACTAATCTTTAGTCTTCCACCTGCTTAATCTGCCAAAACATCAACTTAAATTTCAGACCTCTTACATAAGTGTCCTTGTTAACTTCAAATGACAGTGATAGGAATGCTAAAAAGTTAAGAAACTCAAACGGGACAGCTCCCTACTAAGTTTTATCAGGATTATAAAACTTTCGAAGCACAAAAACACCATCTCTACAAGAAACAGCAACCTGAATTTGACATCACAGAAGGAATAAGGAGGTGATTTTTGCGTGGCAGCTTTCACAATTTACAAACTGGTACTGTAAATGCTTGGATGCTACCTAGTAGTTGATTTAAATTGTGAGGCTTCCTCAAAGGAGTTCCTTGAGAAAGGAGGTAACTCACACGGGTGGAAAACTAGAAACCTACTCAATTTATTAAAACTCCTTTCCCAGCAAGATGAACTCGGTATCCTCCAAATGGCTGAAGTACCACTCAAGCTGATTTGGCCGGTCTATGGGGAATGGCGCCATCTTGTGGCCACTCCTCAAACCATCTGTTAATAGGGTGCAATTGCAGCCCGCTATCTTGGGAGGAAGAGAACAGTACATTCTGCCTGAAGCCTGGGATATCATATCAGATGTTTTCAAAGAACATGAAATTCTGGTTACTTTTATAATTTTATTGACTCTTTTCTCATAACCTTAAAACAAAAACATAACAGCATCTTTTCCCAAAGTCTCGACTCAGTTGATTGCCTCAGAAAGGCCATGAGAAGAACTTCACCACCTTATGCCTCTAAATAATGACTAAAGACTCAAGTTACACAGCAAGTTCAAGTTTCTGCCCACCCCAGGACACACAGCCAGTAATCGAACCCTTGTTGCCAAGTCCATGTACTCCAGCTCTCTGCCTGTCTTATTTCTTAGTAGCTCTTCCTATTTGCTAAGACCGGGTCTTCCTGCCGGCTGTCCTTCCTTCATGGTGGGTCAAGGCTGAACCAGAGAAGCGTGGTCTGGTTCCGCCATCACCGGCCACCGGCTGGCCAGCCAGGAAATCACTTCTGTAAAGTCTTTTGTCTCCACCATTTCTCTCCCTCTCCCTTCTTCAAAACCTGTTGCTATCACTTTTACGTAACAATGAATTCAGTGTCCATTAAAGTGAAAGGTAGTTTGAGGCTGACATACTTTCCTGAGCTAAAAAAAGAAGAAAACAAAGTACCTCTGCGGCTTTCCTGCCATAAGATCAAGTAAAAAAGGGAACTGCAGTACTGAGAAGGCGCATGCCACAGAAGCAACGCAGTCCCCTCCCTGCCCCAGGGGAGGCTTCTCCAGTGCCAGCCCTCAAGGGGACGGGGCAGATAACTCTGGGCACGGAGGTGTACTGAAGGGGAACTTGTTTATTTTCCCCTCTTAAACTTCCCTGCTGCCGCCCCAGTCTTCGCCTTCTTCTTCACGGATCCCTTGGGTTCGGGCTCCTTGCGCTTCGCTGACGAGAGCGAGCCGGTCACCTTGAAGAAATCATCCAGGCGGCCCTGCGTGCTGCCCTGGCGGCTCTTGCTCAGCCGCCGGACCCCACTGCGGATTCGCTCCTCGGAGAACTGCTTTTCGCCGCACATGAACCTGACGAGCTCTTCTTCGTTTGGTTCACTCCACTTCAGCTCCACAGACTCTGGGTCCAGCACCTCAGGCTCTAGGAAGAGCTGCTGGGCCTCTTTGTGGAGCCAGTTTTCCGGCACGGGGTACTTGCTGGGGTCAAGTCGACGCACGATCTCCTCGATGCTCTTGTGCTTCTGGATGAGGTCCACAGCCCGCTTGGGCCCAATGCCTCGAATGCTCTCACAGTAGTCGCTGCCCAGCAGGATGCAGAGGTCCACAAACTGCTCCTGGTTCAGGCCCAGCTCCTGAAGAATCCGGCTCAGGTGGAATTCCTGGATGGGTAGCTTCTTGGCCTCGCTGGCAGTCAGGTGCCGCATTAGCACAGGGCTGCCAAAGGTCAGGCAATCCATGTCCTCCGTGGCCGCAGCATAGACTTTGCCAGCCTTCACCAGGGCTGCACAGCTGGCCTCTGCCTCGCTGGGCGCATCGAGGTACGGGATGCCCATGAGGCTCAGTAGATGCTTGCACTCATCATTGTGTTGCTTGGTGACCTTCACTAGTCGCTTAGTAAACTTCTCCACGTCCTCCTCAGTCCCAACATCCTGAGCCTGCTGTAGCCGCTTCTCGGCCTCAGCCCGCCGCTCGCTGCGTTTGGCCAGCTCACCCGATTTGAGCTGTGGCGGCTTGCCATCGAAGACATACACGGGCTTGATGCCGTTCTCCATCATGCGGATGGTGCGGTAGAACATGCCCATCAGGTGGCTGGTGGTCTCACCCTCCTCATTCTGCAGCACATCCCCACCCTGGCGAACGGCAATCAGGAACTGATAAATGCTCATGGAGGCATCGATGGCCACCTTGCGGCCGAAGTAGCTCTTGATGTCATTCTCCCGGATGGCACTGGGGGCCACATCAGCAATCAGTTTGGCCAGGCCTTGAATACCCATAGCGACACGGAGGAGGAACGGCTGAAAAAGAAAGGCAAGTAAAACAAGAAACTTAAGGGTGCAAAAAGGGCAAGTTGCTATCTCGCCAACTTCGTGCCTTCAAGTAAATAAATTTAGTGCAACAAAAAGGACACCAAGTCAGCCCTGCAGAAGATGAAAAGATGAACAAGACAATGTTCTCACTGTCAAGAAACTTACAGTCTAGCAAAGAAGTTCACTCAGTAAATACTAAGGCTTTCTGAGTATCAAGAACTAAACTGGGTGCTAAGCAGAATAAGACGCTACTGATGTCATTGAGGGACTTAAAATTTTGTGGATAAGGCAGCAATAGGGCTAGCGTGCAATAAGGGTTACAAGAGATGTCTGTGTCAAGGATCACACAAATCCAGACTGCCTGGCCTGTCCGGAGGAGTCCAGGGATCATAAAGGCAGAACTGAGTCCTGGAAGGCAGGCAAATATTGGTTAGACAATGAATCTGAGATGAGACAAAGACAAAAGCAACCATAATACACTGGCTGAATGTGTCAAGCGGTGAAACAAACATTTCAGTATCCATCTTCTTGCCAATTCCTGAACAACACATTTATTCCTCCTTCGTGCCTTTATACCAGTCATCGAACATCCCCAACTCACTCCTCCGCTCCCTCCGTCTAGCAGCTGTGATGATTAGTTTTACGTGTTAACTTGTCTAGGCTACAGCATTCAATTATTTAATCAAACACCAATCCAAATGTTGCCTTGGCCATATTTTGTAGATCTGGCTAACATCTATGATCAGTTTACTTTAAGTAAAAGAGGTAGCTCTCCAAATGGTGGTGGGGCGCGGGGGGCTCATCCAAATCACATGAACTATCTTAAGAGCAAAAACTGAGGTTTCATGAAGAAATTCTGCCTCAAGGTTGCATCAATTCCTGCCTGAGTTTCTAGCCTGATGACCTGTCCTATAATTTTCAAACATGCCAATCCCTACAATCTCCTGAGCCCGTTCTTTAAAATAAGTCTCTTTTTGGATTTTGTTGATCAATGTCACCCCTAAATTTTTAATAATAATTTACAGTCTCTTTAATGTGGCTTGCTCATACACTGCACTAATCTCCCTCAGTGTCCCCACAGCACTTGAGTTTCTACTTCTACTATGATGTTGCTAGGAGTTTTAAGTCTTTTCCTTTGTATTTTCCCTCCACCACCAGGTCTGAGATGTACACCCCGTAGCTCCTACCCCACCCCAGGTCCTGATCTAGTCACTCAGCCCAGTGCTGCATTTCTATGGTTCAGGCCCCTTAACAAATATTTCCTAGAATGGTATTGTCCAAAATTCAGTCAGGCCCAAACAGCCCTCACGATTTTTTGCCATTTCCAATTAAAGCCTGTACTTTCACTCACTTAATATCTTCCTTAAATGGAGACCATTGTTTCAAAACTAAGATAAGTTGAAAGAGAGAACTCATCTTAAGTGATATGTTATCAGTTATATTTTAATATAATGCATAATTATTAAAAAAGATTTGTTTGAGTGAAACTTAAAGTCATCGTGTACCCACTGGTGTGGTATGTGTCAACACTTTAAGAAATATCATACCAGACCTTCGAATTGTTCCCACCTTTCCTTCACAGGATTCTTTTTCTAAATAAAGCAGAAACGGCCCTGTGATATTCCTTCTTCCAAGAAAAGTCCAGACACCTCTGCATGACATCGAGATCTTCTATGCTTTGGTTCTCAACCTATCTTTATAGTTTGGGACCCCATAGAAAAGTTAGGATAAGGCCGGCCTTTTCTCACTTGCTCAACTGTGCCCTCTACCTGCCACCCTCGACCCCCTTCTTCAAGGTTTCATTTTAGTTCCCCCGTGAATGGCTGTGGCCTTGAATTTGGGCGCCAGTGTTTACCTACCTTCTGTGCAGCATCATTAAGTCACTTAGTGTGACGATACTAAGCCATTTAAGTTTGGTTTTCTCATCTATAAAATAAGATTAATGCCATGCCCGTCTTGCAGAATTACTGCCAGGGTAAACTGAGATAACAGGTGAAAACCTGCCGACATGCTCTCCCTGTCCCTGTCCCTCCTCTCCCTCTCCCTCCAGACCCCACAAATGCTCTGGCTCATGCCTCAAGCAGGCTCCTTTGCTGGAACGTGTACTGAGAAGGCAATGCCTTGTTAGCCGGTTATCCTGCCTCAGCATCCAACAGACGGCTCTAAACGAATGAAGTTTAAAACTGTCATCCAGGATCTTAGTCGAAATACGCAAGTTACTATCCTTTCTACAAATGAATACAGAGGCTCGGAGGTTACGCGACTGGCCCAAGAACCACAATGGGAAAAGTGGCGGGACGGCGCTCGCGCCTCCGCCCTGAGCGGCAGCCGGCCCGCCATAGCGCCGAGCGCAAATCGAACCCCGCTGCTCTTGGGAGAAGCTTCCCATGTCATCTCACCTGGCCTAGGGGCACGAGGCCTCGGCAGCTAGCGCTTGGTCCGGTGTCGCCCAGGACAGTCCTCAGCCCCGCTACCGCTTCAGCTCAGCCGCAGATCACCTCTCGCTCCGCTGCCTTCCAAAGCCCGCGCTCCCGTTACGGGACGCGCCGCTGCGCACAGCCTCCCGGGAAGTGTAGTGCAAGCCCCGGCCCCCTTGGCCAGCTTCTCTCACGACGAAGAGTCGGACTAAGGTGAACGAACTTGCTCAGCTACCCTACCCTACCCTTCTCCACCGCTTCCCCTACTCCACCCCAGATCCCAGCAGGCTCCAGCCCCAGCTACACCGCCCCACCCCCCCAAAAAAATCACAGGACTACAAATCCCACAATGCCACTTGCGCAGGCGCACTTCCTTTTCCGGCCGGACAGCGCGCTTGCTGTACTGACGCGTTTTTCCGGTGGCGGAGCGGCGGATTACCTAGAGCCCGGCAAAATGGTGAGCGGGATGAGGGGAGTTCGGAACAGGGTTGTGAGGATCCCCTCGGGGCCCGTCCCCACACCCCGCTTCTCTCGCAGAGGCCTCAGTCGCCCGAGATCCAGAGAGCCGAAGGCTTCTATATCCTCCGGCTTGGGCTGACGGGCGGGGAAGGGAAGCCCTTTGCCAGGGACTCCCCAGGCAGAGGTTTTGACTTCGTGAGTTTTAAGGGTGAGGGGCGTGAGGCGCATTTTTAATTTCTTCTAGCTTTTGCCACTGTTACGTACGATCAAGCTTTTCTCTATATTTGGAAAGTTCTTCCACCTGCCGAACTCGTACTCATCCTACAAGGCAAATGTCTCCTTCCTGGTGAAGCATTTCCAATACCCTCAGGCATTTAGCCGCACTCTCCTGGGAGCTCCCACAACCTCTGTACTGACCTCTTGCCACGTGTCCTGGTCTTCTTTGTTATCTGCCACGCCTCCTGGTGACCACCATCTGACGTGCCTCTGTCCCTGTGATGATGTCTATTCATCTTTGTATTCCCGATGCCAAACACAGGGCCTGCAATTGCAGGCTCAATAAATGGCAGCGATTGTCTTTGTCATTTTCAGGGGGGCATAAATGTTTATTGGATTGAATTCCAGTGTCTCTTAGAACAATGGAGTCAGTTTATTTCTCTAGAGTTGTTATGTTCTGGATTTTAGAAACGTTGGCTGGTGGGTGACAATGGAAGTTAACATTCGTACAAAATTGTATGTTTACAGCCTTCATTCACAGGCATTATCTCATAATCTTCCCTAAACTTTGGGAAGGAAACAAACACCAATTAAGCAATTACTCTATGCCAGGCAGTAACCAGATGCTTTCTTAAATCATACATTAACCCTATGAGATAAGTACTGTAACTACTTGACTGAGACTCATTCAGTAAAACCAGAATTTTAACTGTCTTGCCTGTAGATCCTAAATTCCATAATAAAATACAGAGTTAGAATTTGAGATCTGGGTACTGGTTCTGATCTACTGACATGGGAACATAAAGCTCCTAAAATCATAGACTTTTCCTTATATGTGGTTTTTCACAGGCAGAGAGTCCATGACTTTCATCACATTTTTTTTCATACTGGTTAGTGGCCTCAAAATGTTAAGGACCATTGATCTATAGCTGATCAGTCAGTCACCTTTTGTGTCTCAGCCTCTGACTCACAGCCACCCTTCTTGTCTCATACTGAAAAGTCAAAGTGCCACCTTAGTTTAAGATGTAATTGTTGCCATTTCCCAACTGAATCACTTGATATTGGTTCTGAAGGATTTCCATTTCCCAGGCTGCAACAGGCCTTTGGCAGTCACAGCTGCACAAGGCTCCTTGATGACCCCAGAGATGCCCCCAGGTTGAAGTCATGGCATTCTTTCACTGCTCTGATCTTCTGCCCTCCCCTAGGAGCTCGAGGCCATGAGCAGATACACCAGCCCAGTGAACCCAGCCGTCTTTCCCCATCTGACCGTGGTGCTGTTGGCCATTGGCATGTTCTTCACCGCCTGGTTCTTCGTGTATCCTTCCACTGCGCAGCCAGTGGGCCAGAATTAGTGATGTGGGAAACTGAGGCAGAAACCATGCTGGGTACATGCACCCTGCCAGTTTTGTTCTGGTGTGGGGATGGAAGAGGGTAAGGAGGTCGAGGGAAGGTTCTTGATGCCCAAGGTCAGGTTGTGGCCTTATTTTCCAAGTTCAGGGTGAGTTCAGTTTGCTCTTCAGATTTCTAGGATAGTGAGCAGAGGGCTTAGCTGGACTAGAGGCTAGGCATAGGAGATCTGAAGTTGGAAGAGTGGTATAAGGAGGGGTGCCCTCAGGTGTCAGGAAATCTGACTAGTCCAGTTCCACCATGCGTTAACTGTGTGACCTGGGGTGAGTGACCCAATCCCTCTGGGCCTCATTTTCTTCCTGGGTGGTAGAGGGGTGGTATGGAGTACCAGAGTCCAGGTCATCACTTGGGCCCCTCTGCCTGGCTGCACTGAGCCAGACAAGTCTCCCAGAAAGCCCAGAGCCCATACCTTTCTCCCAGAGCTGTATTGGCCAGGCTTCCTGCCCTGTGCAGCCCATCCCGTTGCTTCTCCTTAACCATCCTGCGAGTTATGAGGTCACCTCCACCAAGTACACTCGGGACATCTACAAAGAGCTCCTCATCTCCTTGGTGGCCTCACTCTTCATGGGCTTTGGAGTCCTCTTCCTGCTGCTCTGGGTTGGCATCTATGTATGAGCTCCCAAGGTAAGAGCTGTGACAGGGTGGGACACTGGAGTAGTCCCACACCCACATCAGCAGGGTCCTCAGGCCTATACATTCCTTGGTTAATGAAAATGGACTCAGAATGGATAGTGACACCAGACACATGTGCCTCTTTCTCTGTTCCTAATGGGGCTTTGAGCCAAGTGTGACTACATTGTTGGTTCTGAGTTCTGCCTGCCGCCCAGGGCGTCAATCTGGCTTTAGGATGTCCTACACAGGGCTGTGGGCACAGGCTACCCATGGTTATACATCTGCATTTGTAAACGTCATAACACCAATGAATTGGAGAGGCTGCTGGGGAGTGGGCCAGAAGGGGTCAGGGTCTGGGACTTAAAATTTGCTGCAAGGAGTATTGTTTTGGTTAGTCTGGATGTTTTCAGGCATTGAACTAAATCTCAGCTAAGTGATGAAAACCAAAAAAGAAAGAATACTTGGCTGCAGGTAATCCATCAAACGTCACAATTGGCTCTGGTGGCTCAGCTTCAAAGAACTGTGCCCGTAAGCCCTGCCCCTGCAGCATAGGAGCTCGGTGAGAAAAGTTGGTGCAAGGAAGGATCACTGGTCTCGTTCTGATACCCGTCTCTTCTTGCAGGTTCCATCCAGGCAGCTTCGCCACCGGATCCCTGCTTTTGTAAATTAATTTTTTTTACTGTTGCTGGAAGTGTTCCAGTTGCTCTGAATGCAGCTCACAATAAAGGTAGATATGTGACTGCCCTGTCTGGTGCCCATTCTGTGGGGTGGGGGTGGTGCTGGTGCTGGGACCTACATGACTTCCCCAGTCCCAGTCCTTCTTGTTTCTCTTCCGCCTTTCAGTTGGTTCCTGCTGCTGGGGTGCCCTGCTCTCTGCCTATGAGGGGAAAAGGGGGATATAGGAGGGGTGTCCTGTCCTTGGAGTTAAAGGCTTACCTGTGGATAGGAAGTGGCTGGCCTGCCCTCTTCTATTTCTAGAGACTTCTCTAGGAATCCACACCAATCAGGTCTGCCCTGGGCCAGTCCCCTGCTCTAAATGCAGCCACCTTCCATGGCTGGGGACCTTCAAAGGCTCAGTTTGTCCCCTAAGAAGGCTTTTTCCTAGGATGACTACTTTTAACCCAGGTGGGGCAGCGGTGGGTCCGTGGGGTATGGTTAGAGGAGGGGGCTGCTGAATCCTGTGCCCAAGTCTAGCATGAAGCTAAGCAGAATAATGGGGTACAAAACATCTGTCTGGCTCGGGGCCCCAGAGATGGCAGTTGGTCCTAGCCCCACAGGTGACTCCATCTCCTACCAGAACAATCTCAAGAAGATTGGGATGCAAGCTCAGATACAAAGCCATATTTATACATTTATTTATATACGGATATTTACTTCAGAAGAAAAGAGCTGTTCAGGGGACGGGAAGCAAGCAGGCCCGGGGCTGCTTCCCTTCGCCTCCTCCAGAGTCAGAGTTGGTAAATGATAAATATGAGTCAATGCTCAGGGATGGGAACTGGAAGTTAACTGGGAGAGAGGGGTGCTCTATGCACACGCAGGCTTTTATAGGAGATGTGTGAGCAGGGGTTTGGGTGTTGAGAGGCCCTATGTACAGCTTGAAGCTTGGGGGAGGTTAGCCCAGTGGCTACAGGAATAAATGCCAAAAGGGAGAAAGGGAGGGATGGCTGCCAGCCCCTGGGTAAGGGCACGGAGCCAAGACACCTACTCACTAGCACCAGCCAGGCAGTTGTCAGCCTCCAGCAGGCGGCCCATTCACCTTCCCTTACGCCCTTTCACCTTATTGGGTTTAAGGCAACTTTGGTCCAAGGTTGACCCCTCCCTGCCCCTTGAGCAGCTTAGAGCCCCTACTTGGCCCCAACAGGTGCACTGAGGACCCCCTCCTCAGCCATGGAAACAGCCAGCTGCTAACCAGATTGGGGCCGTGCTGTGTCCAGATGGGCTCCAGGGGGCAGTGGAGAGTCACTTTCCAGTTAAGGACTGAAGGGCCTTAGCCTAAGAACATGGACCCCACAGAAGAAGCCCCAGAATCTTATTACAGGGGGCAGGGCTTGGCAGTTTTAAGTCATTTAGGGAGGTTCCCCCAGTGAGAAGAGGGAGAACAGAGTAGTCTTAAGTAAGGCTGGGCTCCCCACATGGTATGGGGAGCCATGTAATTCCTATGTCAGAATGAGGGAATGGAGCCACCTTGGGGAGGGGGTTGGGAGGCCAGGTATCCCCACTAGCCCCCTACACCCCACCCTCCAGTGTCTCCCCATCCTGAGAATAAGTGCTTTGACATCCATGGCAGAAAGGGACCTGCAGTTCATAGGCTTCAAGATTCAGGCCCCCCCAACCCGGCTTCCTGTTCAAAACTGGAATCAGGGGAGAGGGGCAAGGCCTGCTTCCCAAAGAGGTGGCAGACTATCACAAAGCAAGGACGGATGGCAAGTCCTGTCCCCACGTCTGAGCCCATAGCAGACATGGCTAAGTGATTTCCACACTCCTTCCATGAGCCTGGATGCGGCCGCAGAATGCTGCAGGCACCCACTAAGAGAGAACTAACGTTGGCACTTAACACTGCTGCCCTAACCCGAGTCCCCCGCTCTGCTCCTGGGAGGAGCGGGCAGAGATTGGGCCTGCTGCCAAGCACGGGTTCCCCCAGCTTGGCTGTCCAAGGCCAGCACAGGAGCCCTTGGTTTGGGGAGACAAGGCCACTAACAAAGAGTGGAGGAAGAGGCCAGAGTCTTGGTGATTGGGAGTGGGATGGGTGTCTTGAGGCTCCTGCAACAGAGGGAGCCAGGGACTTGTCTTTGCAAGTGACCCCTCAGGGCTCAATCTCCATCCTTCCACTCCTGCCCCAGTTTAAGTGCATTTTAGTAATTACTTCATTAATAACAGCAAAAGCTATTTGCGTCCACCCACCAGCCAAGACGGCCTGCTGCCTTGCAGGGATTCCTGCTCCTCTGCTCGGAGAGAATGATGGGTCACTGACACCACTGAGAGCTCTGGCAGCTCCCAGGAGCCCAGGCCATGGGGCCGAACCACCTCCTGGAGGCTCACAGGGAATTTCCCTTCCACAATACTCCGGGTTCAACGGGCCGAGGCTTACTTGGCCCACTGGCCCTACTGGTTCTACCAAGTACAAAGTGTACATAAGGCATGTGGTCGGTCTCTCTGACTCATCCAGGGCTGGCTTCAGTTGCCCTGGGAGTTCTCGGAGCCAAGCTCTCCCAGGGACAGGAGACCTCCTGGGCCACACTTAAAACTTCGAAGTCCAAGTCCAGCGTAACAGTCAAACCCCAAAAAGTCTACCACCTAGCCATCCCCCAGGGAGCAGCTTTGAGGGTGAGGGCCGTCAGCCCTCCACTGACGCGTGGGTCCAGCCAAGTCTCAGGGCTCGATCCAAGCCCCTGCTGGTCGTAGAGGCGGGCAGGGAGGTTGGGATGGTGGGCCCTGGACTGTCGCGGGCTTCCCCTTGCCTCCGGGGCACCTGAAGCCAGTCCTCTAACTGCCACATCTGGACAGGTGTGAACCGGTCCTGTCCTGGTCCCAGGAGGTCTCTGTGGGGTGTGAGAGGGGCAACCAGCAGGAACAGCAGCTCCAGTGTGAGGACTTCCAGTTTCACCAGTCGAGGGGAGGGCCACGCCCAGCTCAGTCTCTCCGAGGACATGCCAGTGAACAGTGGAGAGCTGGTGGGTAGTGGGCTCCAGTGTAACACCACCGCATCCAGTGTGGAAGGGGCAGCCGGGGACCCCCAGGCCCTGGTGTGGCGCTGCCTCAGGGAGGGCAGCTCAGTCACACAGGCGGTAGAAGCGGAAGTAGTAGTCCGTGGCTGGCTGGACCAGGGCCTCCAAGCTGCAGTTGGCCTGACCCTGGGTAGAAGGGCAGGGGGGATGGGTGAGGTGGCTCTGGGGGGTACAAGGCAGGAGGCACTCCCTCTGCTGACCTGGCCTGACACTGTCCCAAGTCTTGCCGTGTGCTCTACAAACTTCCCATCCTTCCTCCCAAGCTCCATACAGATACAGGTGCCTGGACCCCCAGGGATGGATGGGGTGCCCGTGCTCACCAGCAGTGCCACCCGGAAGTGGTAAGTGAATTCGCGGAAGGAAAGGATGGTTACTGGCCACTGGTGGGACGTGCCCTGGAGAGAGGAGAAAGGGGTCAGCACAGCCCTCTGCTCCTCTCCCAACCAGAATCCCTCTCACTCGGCCATCGCAGGTCTGGGCAGCGCGGCCAGTTCTTTGAAGGGGAAAAGCAGAAAGCTCTGAAGAGAGGTCAGGAAGCACGTTCTGCTTTGGGGAGCAGTGGCAGCCACCCTCAGTGCAGACTTTGCCAGGCACAAGCCCACGGCTGCCCTCACCTGGCCCCTGTCTTATCTACCTTCCCTCTCACCCAGTATGCCTCGGGCTCATCGAAGTATTTCGCTACAACCCAATGAGGTGACCGCTTATAGATGAGGAAACTGAGTTACTTGCCTAAAACCACATGGTGACTTGTGGCAGAGCTGGACATCGAACCCAGGTCTGTCATGCTCTCTCCCTGGCAGGGCAGCGTGGGGCCCAGCCACAGGCAGCTTACCCGCCTCCTACCCAAGGATTTGGCTTTGCCTCCGTAGCGTGTGGGTTCGGGCCTGAGCTCCAGGTCTAATAAGTGTGTCGCGGGGCTCTCCGTCCGCTTTCGGGTGCTCTCTCCTCTCTTTAGGGCCACAGGACCTGGGCCTCTGCCCCGCCCCCAACCCCACTTCATCCTCTACTCAAGTTATTTTCTGCATGCCCTTTCTCCCTGGCTCATGCACTGTCGGAAGGCAAGGCCTGTGCGTACCCCACCTCTGTCTCCGCAAAGCTGGGCCCAGCACAGGGTCTGAGACAGTGGAAGCCCTAATGAATACTTGTTGACTGAACACGGGAAGGGTGAGAAGTTCCCTTAATTTGTGCTGAGAGTCAAGACTTTGGGTCACACAGCCAGTGAGAAGCTGGACAGTGACAGGGTCCCAGCCATTTGGTTATCAGGGCAAGAGGTGGTCCTCTCCGTGGAGCCCAAGGACCTCCCAAATGGAGCTGTGCCACCACTCTAGATTGAGCTTGAGGTCCAGGCCCTCCGACCCACTGCCTCCCCCGACTCACAGCCTACCCCATGTTCCCAGCCCTACTGGCACACCATGTTCTCTCTCTTCCCCTCCTCCTGGGACACTGTCCCCAAATTGTCCGTCAGGTGTCATCTCAATTAAACATGATTTTTGCGGGGCGGCTGCCCTGACCCGGAGACTAGTCAAGGTTAGTCCTCCCTGCCATGGGCTCAGGACTCCCTCCTCGTCCCCACCATTGTACTGGTCCCAGGTAAGTCCTTATGGAACTGTCTCCCCAGGGCTCTGTGTGTAGGGACAGGGCCAGGAGATGCTCAGCAGTGAGTAGGGCACACAGGTCCCCTCCCCGGACAGGCCCCAAAATGTCCCCTTTGGAGATACTTTCACTCTGACCTGGCTCCCTCTCACCTGCTTTGGGGCCCAGCTATGCTCTGGGGCCTGGCTGGACCACAGCTTCCCAGTTGCCCCCTACCTGGGTGTCCTGGTGGGTGTGGAGGCTCTGTGGAAAGTCCCCCTCCTCACATGGCTCCGCGTTGGACATCAGGCTACACAGCACCACGGACACTGGGGACGAGGAGCTGGGGAAGGCCCAGTTAGCAAGAAAATGGGGTTCCGAGCTCCTCCACCCCAGCTCCCTCCCAGCCAGCCCTCCATTCTACGTCTCCTGCCCCGCTGACACAAGCCACTGAACCCTCACACAGTCTGAAAATGATGCCTGATCGTCAAGGCCCTAGACCATCCTGAAGCCCAGAGACGGCCGGGGTCACACGGCCAGTTAAGTATGGAGCAGGCAGAGTTTGCATCCGTCCTCAGCCCCTTTCTCCAAGTTGTGGAGGACCACTGCGTCTCTCCACTCCCCCACAGCGCACTCACTTCATCTGCAGGGTCAGGCTGAGGTGCAGTGGGGTGCTGCTGCTGACAGGGATGTGGTAGGTGAAGTTCCCAGGCCTGAAAGGGCAACACCGGCTCCTTAGCCCAAGGCCACCCCGACGGGCGCCCGCCCCAACGCACTCCTCAGCCCCCAGTCTCTACTGAGCCTTTCAGGGGCCTAGGAAGGGACTGCCCAGCCTTCCTCCCTGGGGGGTGGTGGGGGGCAAGTTCTGGGCATCAGTACTGCTGAGCTTATGACACCTGAGGGAACCTGTCTTTGGGGTGAAGGGAGCCAAGCCCACCTGCAGGCATCTCCTGGAGCACAGTACTGGGAGGTGATGGGCATCGAATTCTCCAGCACCTGGATGGAGGTGAAGGAGGGCACTGGGTCTGCAAGGAGAGAGGTTGTTAGGGCAGGGAGGAGGGTGACAAGGCAGGACACAAATCAGAAGCAGCCAAGCCTTTCCCTGCCAGACTTGGATCAACCACTCACACCTTAGTATGAGTAATTTCATGTTCTTTCCAGACTCCCACGATGGCGGGGGCGGGGGGCGGGCACACCGGCCTCTTCCCCAGCAGCCCTAGGACCAGCCAGTTCCCATGAGCCTGAGGTCTGTCTCCCTGACAGAAGCAGCACACCCAGGAGCAGGGATGGTCTTCTGCATCCCTCGCCAGGGCGGTACAGGAGCCCGCTCTTCAGGCCTCTGTCCCTGATCGCACACACCTCTTCCCCACTCTGGGTTCAGTGACTTCAAGCAGGCAGCAAGCCGTCAGCCAGTGGGTGGGAGTACTCACACATGCACATCAGAACCCCCCCCACCCACCTACACACACACAGAGCCAGTGGTTAAACATCTGCCAGCACACCATTGCTTGTGGCCCTCTCCGAACTAAGCCACCACGGACAGGCCGGCTGGGTGGGGGTGGGACTGAAGTGTGACAGGAGAGGTCGAGGAGACGAGGTTGTAACCTCTCAGTTCACCTGCAGGCTTGCCGCTCAGCCTGACCATCCGCCCAGGAAGGGGAAGCTGGGGCCACCGGCCACTAAACATTTGCTGGACCTGGGACATTTTCACCCAAGGACACCAACGGGACCCAGAATACTCCGTGGGGCCACGGACAGGAATCAGACAGACATTATGGAACACGCCTTTCCACTTCTCTTCTGGGCAAACTCCCACTGTCCTTCAGAGACTCAGCTCCAGTGTCATCTTCCTGATCCTTCCCTGATCGCCTCCCCACCTTCGCCGTCAGGCTGCCTGTGGGTCGCCTCAGAGCCTCATCACAGATGTTTTCGCGTCTCTGAGCTCTCTGGGGGCAGGGCATGTCTTCGTCACCCCCAGTGCCCTGTACAGCCACGCAGCAAGGCCCAGGAAACGGCTGCCTGGTGAGCATCTAGCCTGTGGAGTTTCCCCATCACTTTGACCTCGAATCTCTGAAAGCCACAGTTTCTAAGCTTTTTTCTTCCTCTAAGCCACAAAACCCATCAAATGAAAGTTCACGAGGAAGACCAACACCTAGAGCGGAGGCGTCTGGTTGAAGCCAGAAGGCTCTGGCTTCCCCTTCAGCCTCCACGGCAGCCCCGGGGCGCCTTGGAGACGCCCAGTTTGAAAACTTCTGCAATCAAGGATTCGCTCTCTTTGTTAAACCAAGGGTTTGAAGTTTGGAAAACCTGGGGGGACTGACCCTGTACAGCACCCTCCTTGCCCAGGCATGGTGACACAAAAGGAGCCAGGCAGACTTGGAATCAAATTCCACCTCTGCTGCTGATGGGTCACACGACTCTGAGAAAGTCACTTCACTTGTCTACGCCTCCGTTTCCTTATCTGAATAACGGATAGTTCTTTTCTTGCAAGAGTGTCCTGAGGATTAAATCAGGTGATCTGTGTAAGGCTCCTGGCCAGCTTCCTGGTACGCAATAATGCTCAGCACATGGCCGCTGATTGGTAGTTGTGCACTCAGATGACTGGGCTGAAAGGGACTCTGGCCAGTGAGCCCAGCCAGCTGGGCTGAGAGGTACAGCGGGTAGGACAAGTACCTGGCTGGCCCCGGGCCTCAGTGGGCTGGGCAGGGCCCAGGCCAGGCTGTGTGGCCCCTCGGCGGGCCCGGCCATGGAGACCAAGGCTGGGGCTGTTCTTGGTTTTGCCTTGTCCCCCAGGGAAGGGGACTACAGGGCTGGCCACAGGCTCCAAGCTCTTTGGATGCTTGAAGTGACCAATGCCATTGGCTGACAGGCCCCAGGACTTGGCTCTGATGTTGGTGACTGGCAGCAGGGCCATCTGGCTGGGGCCTGTGGATAGAATCAGGGACAGGCTGAGAAGAGGGAACTGGCTGTCTCCTGCCCAGCTATCTCTAGGGCCCCACTAGATTCTGGGTGACCCCCATCTCTTGCTCCAGGAGACCCAGCGATGCATCTTTGGGGGCCTTTCTCTGGACTCGGATAAAAACCCCCGACCCAAACCCTGGCCCTGAAATAGCCATACCTGAACGGTTGGTGGAGGGACTGGGGCTGAGACCGTGGCTGGGGTTAAAGCTGGGGCCAAGACTAGGGTCAATGGTAGGGCCTGGCGTGGGTGAGGAGCAGCAAACGACGGGGCAGGGGTGGCTGGAACACAGGTCTAAGGCGCGGATGACAGGACCTGGGACCAAGCTGGTCAGGCCGGTAGTCACTGAGGAAGCCAGAGGCTGTGTGAGCCAGAGCGGGGCAGCAGAGCCCGCCACCCAGGACCCAGCCACCTCTCCCCGACCCCATCCGTCCAGACCCACCCCAGAAACGCACCCAGCAGCAAAGAGGGCTGTGTGCCTGGCAGCCCAGCGGTCACAGGGGACTGTCGGAGCTGAGTGGTCCCAAAGCTCTGGCTGGACCTGCTGGGGAAGGGTGGGCTGAGCTCAGAGGGGCTGGAAGGGTCTGAGTGGGGAAGCCTGGGAGTCCTGGAGAAGCAGGAGGGGCAGGCAGAGGTGGACAGGGGAGGTGGAAAGGAGGCAGGAGGAAGGATGGCAGGAGCCTAGGCAGGAGGGACGGGGCTTGGTCCAGACACGTACCATGGGCACATGGCCTCGCTCCCCCCAGGGTTCTGGGACCGGAGCAGGGCCAGCAGACAGGAAGTGGACACGGCAAAAGAGCTAAGGGACAGCAGAGAGGGAAGGGGCCGGGGAACAGGCGCAGGGAAGGAAAGAGAGAAGACACAGTCAGAGATGGCCCCAGATGCTGAGGGTGATGGTGGGCAGACAGAGCCCGAGGTCCCACCGTGGCCCTCCTTCCCCAGCCCGGACCCCTCAGATGCCCCTGACTCTCAGAGGCCCAGCTACCTGGAGGAGCACTGAGTAGGCCAGAAAAAAACACTGGCTTTTGCAGGGACAGAAAAACGGCTCCCCTACTCCAGGGAGACCCTCCCACCTACCCCTATGAGCTCCCAGCAGGCCGAAAGCCTGAGGTGGAACCCCCTTGAGATGAGACTGCTCTGATCCTGGGCTGCCCATTAAAGCCCCACCTGGCCTAGTGGCTCAGCTGGCAGCCAGGCCTCCAGGGACATACCCATCTGTTTCCACCAGGTCCTCCTCGGTGCGCAGGCTCAGCACGTACAGTGTAGACATGGACACCACACTGAGAAACACAGAGAAGGGCCACGGTTAGAGCTGGAGCCACCACCCAGCTCTCTCTCTCTCAAGGGCAGGGCCTGGGCTCTCAGTCGATGCCTGTAACTGGTCTCCCAGCCGCAGGGGAATGAGGATGAGGCAGCCTCCCTCCTTCCCCAAGACCTCAGGGGCTCTCCCAGGCCACATCATCCTCTCCCCTCAGGCCTGGGTGTGTGGGCAGCTCAGCTCCCCCAGCCGGCCACCCCAGAGCCTGCGGGACAAGTCACCTGAAGGCCATGACCACCACCAGAGCAATGATGGTTCCCTGCAGGAAGCGCTGGCTGATGCAGGCCTGGTCTGGGACCACAGATGACGGCTGAGGACCGAGAGGAGAAAGGAAGAAGCCCAGACTTAGGGAGCCCATGGCCTTACCCACTGTGGGCTCTGCTGGAGGTGGGGCTGCTAAGGGCTCCTCATTCCCGTGGTGGACAGAGGACAAGGAAGGGGACACGGGGCCGGGAGGGCTAGAGTGTCAAGATGAGAAGGGAAGCGCGTGAAGTGAGCCTGGAGAGGGGCAAGCTGGAAAGGGAGGGGCAAGCCGCGGGGCTGGGGAGGCCCCAGTCAACCTGCCTCCCACCTCTGCCCACCCTCACCTTGCTGGCCAACTTGGGGGGCCTCTTCTTGTGTGGGACACTGCCAGCCCGGCTGAACTGGCTCCCTGCGTGGCTGCAGCAAGAAGGCCAGGGTCAGAGGTGCCTCTGGGAAGGGGGTCTTGCCCTCCCCCGCCCCACACCCCCACCTGAAGGCTCCTGAGCTGCCGGTGGACTTGAGGCTGTCCAGTCGCCGCAGTTTGGCCAGCTTGTGGCTCCAGCGCTCCAGCTCATCAATGCGCGTCTCCAGGTTGTCGGTCAGCTTGCACAGCTCCTTCACAGCACCCACATTCTCCATAAAGATGCGCTCCTGCCTCGGGCAATGGGCCGATGTTGAGGGCACGGTCCACCCCTGCGAGCGCCAGGCTACAGCCCCGTCGGGGAGCAGGAGGGGAACCCCTCGAAGCCTCCCTACCCAGGCTAGCCTCTCCTCCAGTCCAGCAACAGCGCCCACACACGGCTCCCTGTCTTTGTCTCTGAAG